TATTTCTCTACTCAGAAGGCTTCCAAATAGAAGATTTCAAAGCTTTATTCATAAAGATGTTAAGTGGAATAGTAATTATAATGCCCAGATATTGGAAATAATCTGAATGTCCAACATGAGAAAGTGGTTAAGCCATTATGGTAGCTGTACTTGATAAAACAGTCTGTAGCTATGTAAAAATGCATATGTCATGTTAAATGAGGAGAAAAGAACTTTTAACTTAAATTTGATAGCAGCTATATAAACACTATGCAAATGAAAAATAATTGAAGAGAATATACAAAAGTTAATTGAGGTACTTTTGTTAGTTCCATGTGACTATAGCACTATTTTAATTTTTGTAGTTTACAAATATTTTCCTATTGCTTATTATACTAAATCACAGATAATTTTTTTTTGTGTGTGTGTGTATGTGTGTGTGTGTGTGTTTTAAATCATGAGCTCAATGATGTTACTCATTCAGGAGACAGATATACATGGTGTTTTCTGACCTGCTACAACACAGCTTTGTCCATTCATGCTTGAAAGCCAGGCTATCAATCTGCTTTTATCTTAACTTCTCTGTCTTCCAGGGATTTTAGGTGGATAAATATGACTCAGCAGAATCATGTGCACAATCAGGGGCTGTAAGGAAGGTGATGCCAGCAGACCCACAGCTGAAGCTGGAAGCCAGGCCTCTGGGGGTGAAAGGAACAAGCTGGACTGGAGGAGCTGGCTGCTTCCTGCCCAGCCTCCTTCACAGACACCCTGGCTGCCTGTCAGCTGCCCCCAGCCCAGCATTCACCTCTATGGGCAGGGGCTGTGCTCCGCGCATCCTGGGGATGCCCAGCCAGCAGGTTGGTCCAGAGAGCTCCACATGAGCTTGTTGAATAAACAATCACAGATGTTCTATCTATACTGGCCTTCCCAGAGGCTGGCACAGAACAGGACACATCTTAAAGTACCAACAGCCATCCGTTTTGCCTTCTGACCTAACCTTTACCAGGGATCTGCAGCGGACAAACAAGGGAATATACACTTTCACACGCACTATCTTAAGATGAATTCAGGTAACACAAGCTATGAAATGAGAAATTGAACAGAAAAAGGAATGAAATTAGAAGACACAGTCTATTTTTGAAAGTTCTTTAAAACTAAGGCTACTGCGCTATGAATGTCTTCAAAGAGAGGGCAGCGGGCTAGTCATATTCAGATTTCATGATGGCATAGTTTTAACCAAAGGAGAAGAAAAAGTAAGATTCTTGTTAAAATTCATTTGTTCTGCATAGGCGGGAGAAAGGGGAACTTCCAAGGCGAATTGAAGAACCACACTGCTGCCCACATCCTCCACAAGTTGCAATCTTCCACCAAGCGGAGAAAGGATCCTTGGCTTAGCAATTAAAATCATTTGTCTTTTATCCCCTTCTTGCCAAAAAGGACCCCAGCCCTAACTAGTTAATCCCTAACACACTGCTACTCCCAGAGTTGCCTGGCAACTGCTAGGAGGCGTGTCAGAGAGCAAGAAAGGCCTAAATAAATGAGCTGCAGCCTGGCTGCGCTTGACATGGATAAAGGGGGGTTTTCCGAATGGAGCTGCCTGGCTGCTTGTGTTTCTGTCATTTAAGTGGAGATGAACAAGTTGGCTTGGCCGATATTGTTAAATATCTTGGGCTTTGCACCTTATATTCTTCGGGTGACTGAGAAATGGGTCACATGCCCTGCGATTTGCAGACACTCTCTCCTCTGCCGGCAGCAGCCACCGAAAGCCTACAGAGAGGGCAGGATGCAATGCACACACACTGAGCGAGACCCAGCACCAGCCCCCAGCCCAGAAGCTTTCCTGTGCCTTTATGTCTTTCCATCCACTGTTCCCAAATATACTCACTGATGCCTCCACTGTGCCATGACCCATGCCCAGTGCTGGGAGCACAGAAAGAAAGAGTTATAAAAGTGGAATATGAGCAAACCAGAACAAAGACAGGTGAGAGGGTATGGTGCTGTGGTCGGCAAACTGCGGCTCGTGAGCCACATGCGGCTCTTTGGCCCCTTAAGTGTGGCTCTTCACAAATACCAAGGCCTGGGCGAGTCTATTTTGAAGAAGTGGTATTAGAAGATGTTTAAGTTTAAAAAAATTTGTCTCTCCAAAGAAATTTCAATCGTTGTACTGTTGATATTTGGCTCTGTGGACTAATGAGTTTGCCGGCCTCTGGTGTGGTGGAAAGAACCCGAGTTTTGGAGTCAGGATGGCCCAAGTCTGTCCCCTAGCTCTCCTACTTACCAAAAGTCACCCACAATCTGAGCCTCTATCTCCCATCTGTGAAATGGATAGCAAAGGGCAGTGGAGGGGAATTACTGAAACAACTGAGAGATGAACTAAGCAAGCTCTGGCCTTGGGGAAGGCTGCTGAGCAGGTAGGAGACGTGGCTGTCACTGGACACCCTTTGAGCTCACTTCCTGACCCTCAGGAGAGTCCTTTTGGAATCATTCCCCTGGCCCTGAGGCACCAGTGAGCACTTGTCGAGTCCATCATGTTTCATGTTTAAAAACCAAATCTCTGGGATTGTGCAGTGACCTGAGTCTCAGGACTGCACCCACTGGCCCAGTGGGAAGCCACACCCCACACCCCACAAAGCCCTCCACTTTGGCTTGTTCTCCACTGCTGGCTGCTGCTCAGATCCGCCTGGCAATCTGCCTTAGAGACGGCTCCCATCCATCACCACCTGCTCTGGCCACCATCTTTCTCCCTCACCTTGTATATCAAAGGCCTTCAGTGTACTCCATCCTTTGACCCAGTCAACTCATGTCAGGGATTATGCCTCAGAAAATGATTCAGAGCATGCATGAAGATTTATCCGAAGATGTTCACCACAGCGTGGTTTAAAAATATGAAAGGTGCCTAACAAAAGCCACAGCGCTGATGTGATGGGCCTGGGTACTTATCTCAGACCGCAAGAACTTGATAAAAGTCTCTGCGAGTGGGGCTCAGGCTGCCCTTCTTAGAGGCCCACAGGTGATTCTGATCCACAGCCAAGACTGCGAGCCACTAGAGTCACCTGATGGGATATGCACAGCCATTATAAATGATGTTTTAAGAAGAGTTTTCACGGCTATGAATAAATGCTTACAACATGCTAAAAGGCAAACCCAAACAACTGGGGACTAGATTGCTTTGCTGGTAATTTCTCAACTGCCTAAAAGTAAAATTCCCAAACCCAAATCCAAATGAAACAAAAAGGACCCCCAAAATCCTGGGACCTAAGTAGAAACATGCTAATATGTTATCTTAACTCCAGATGATAGGACTGTGGATGTTTTCTCATTCAAGTCCTCAGTTACTTTAAATATTTCTTACCAGGAGCTGGTGTTTTTATAATAGAGAAACACAAGTGGTCTGAGGAGGCTGCTCTATCCCCTCAGCACTGGGAGCCTGCCACTCTGGAGGCTCATCCAAGAGAACATCCCCCACACCACCCCCATGTGACAAGTGCAAGTACAACCATAAACTTCTCCAGAGGAGCACTTGTGCCTAATGATATGCCCAGCAATACACATTAAGACTCAACCGCCTATGGATTCTAGACATACTCATAGCAACTATAGGATCACTGTAAGAGTGGACAATTCATGTCTATCAGTGCTCAGCTTCCCAAGGAAAGGACGGAGCCAGCTGCCTCATTCTCATTTTAGAGACGGGAAGACTCCAGTATTTTCCTTGGATTATACCAGCTCTCAAAATGACACCATACCTGGCTGGTTTGGCTGCGCCCAAGGTCAGGACAAAGAATCAGAGCCACCTCCCTCAGAGACAAGCCGAACATGGTGAAGTTGGTTTAAACCAAAAGGCCTCAGAGGACCTAGGAAAGAATTTCTTAGGAAAAAGAGAGTGCACCCCCCTCTCTGTTATGTGATCATGACCGTGCCTGAAGCTCAGGCAGCATAGAGAGTCAGGCCTAAGTGTTGATGAAAGATGAGAAGCAAGGAGGGTAGTGGCATTTGGCTGCTGCTCCCTGTGCACCACGGCCCTGGTCATGTCACAGAGAATGTGACCTGGCTGAAGAAAAGGCACGGAGTCTGCTGTTACTCTGTGTCTCATTTAGACACATGATGGAGTCCTAGTGATAAGAAAACATCCTTACCCCACAGGCAATGTGACCCACTCCAACTGGGCTGGCTGTGGCTGCCATTGCTCCTGAGAGAAAAGGGCTCTCAGTCAGGTTCCCCTCCAAATTTCTTTGCTTCATGGAGTGACCAAGGCCCCTGGGCCAATTTCTCCATTACCTTGGCCAAGAGTAGGCTGAATAGAGGGTATCCAGTGCAAACTTCTTACTGAAGCTGGGAGAGTTGGTACTTCCATTGGTTTGAAGGTTAACCTGTTGTCTTCATACCTTAGCAATAACTAGTTGTTATTGTTAGGGTATCACAGGCAGGCAGGGGATAGTAATGGGGTCTTGGGGGCTTAGAAAGGTTGAAGTGCATGTAAGTGGATAACACTACTTCCCAGCCTCAGCACACTGTATAGTCATTCACACCAAGACCACCATAGGAGCCTCTAAGAAGTGAACCCCCCAGGATGCTTTACTTTCTCAAGGGTGGGGATGAGGTTCCTATGGCGGACAAGGGCAGTGAGGCAGTGGGAAATCACAGCTGTGGGACTAACTGGCTCCTCCACTGCTTAGCAAGTCACATCTCTTCTCTGAGCCTCAGTTTCTATACCTGGTAAAATGGAGATGATTATTGCTATCTCAGTCTTACTGTGAATCCGCAGTGAGAGCCGGGCACTGTAGTTAACAGAGGGATCTTCACATTCACAGGAGCAGTTAGTGTGCTTCACTCATGGCCGAGAGGCTTCCTTGTGCTACGAGGCAGGGATGCTTCCTGTTCTCCTGCCCCCTCAATACAGATGCACAACCTCTTTTTGGTGAATTCAACAACCAGGCAAATTGCAGTTTTCTCATGCTCCCTGGGTATGTTTCTTAGCCTTGACCAAACATGGGTTTATAACGTGCCAACAAGTTACTCACTGGCTCAATTTTCAGAGCGTTCCGGTAGCTGCCGAAGAAAGCAGCCTGGGCCTTGAGGAAGGCTCTGGCCACACCGTCGCCAGTGGTGGTGGAGACCTTCTTTAGCCGGCTCTTCAGTGAAGAGATCTGGTGACCAAGAGAAAGGAGACAAGTTGAGGGCAGGTCTGGAGGAGGATCTCTGAGTAAGAGCTCTAGAAAATCCCTGGCTGGAATCGACTTGATACTTTTTGGCTGTTGGGAGAACAAAAATGCATTCAGTGTTGGGGCAGGTTTTTTACATTTAAATGAATGTTGCTTTTATTATAGCATATCTAATGAAAACACAAACAAAACCACTTTCTAAGCAGTTACAATGAGCCAAGTAAGTGCTTCACATTAAGTTTCTAATTTATTTCAGTAATCCTGTAAGGAAGAAATTAGTGTTCCCATCTTATAAGGATGAAACAGTCTCAGAGACGGTCAATCACATGCCTGGGAACAAACCTAAGAAGTGGCTAAGTTGGAATATGAATGGGAGCCTGTTCAGCTGACCCCGAATTACACAAAAATTTTCAGTTCCAATTCCATTCCCTTTTCACATTACTAACAAATATTAGAATAAGTGATTTTTTAAAAATTAATTTTTATTGTTCATATTATAATATTACAAATGTTCCTCCCCTCCCCCCTCCATTGCTCTCCTCCACCAGGTCCCCACCCCACCCTCTGCCCTTTCCCCACCCCCCATTGTCCTCATTCATAGGTGCACAGTTTATGTTCAGTATCTTCCCACATCCCCCTCTCCCCTTTTCCCCAAGAATCATTAGTTCACTCCCCTTCCATACCTCTGATTCTATTATATTCAACAGTTAATATTGTTCATCAGATTTTTTTTTTAATTTCCTTTGTTTTTAGATTCACTTGTTGATAGTTACGTATTTGTTGTTCATAATTTTTATCTTTATTTGCTTTCTCTTCTGACAGAACCCCCTTCAGCAATTCATATAATTCTGGTTTGGTGGTGATGAATTCCTTTAGCTTTTTTTTATTAGTGAAGCTCTTTATCAGACCTTCGATTCTGAGTGATAGCTTTGCTGGATAGATTATCTTTGGCTGTAGGTTCTTACTATAGAATAAGTGATTTTTAATACTTGATATATTATCTATCTATCTATCTATCTATCTATCTATCTATCTATCTACCTATCTATCTATCTATCTATATAAAAGGCTAATACGCTAAGTATCCGATGATGTGCACTGACCACAGGGGGCAGACACTCAACACAGGAGGTGCTGAGCTGCAGTGACTTGGAAGCAGTAGTTCTTAGGTGATTAACCCCGAAACCAGAGAGGAGGGAGCCAGATTCCTTGTGGGCTTGGCCATTCCACCTTCAGCCATGGGTTATGTTTTACTGCACACTTGCATTTGTGTTCCACAACCTGTACCACAGCAACTTTGCAGAATACCCTCTCACACTCTGGGACCCCTCAGGGAATGTGAGAGAGCAGTTTCAGCACGATCCCCACAGGCCAGGCTGAGGGCCCCCACCTGCTGGAGAGACCTTGCTCCCTCTGCAGATGCTGAGGAGGGACCTCAAGAGGTTGGCTCTAGGGTATGTCCGGCCCATCTCACCCAGTCCCCACTGGCCACCTTCTAATTAATTTCCTTTCAATGTGCACAAATCTGTGCACTGGGTCACTAGTGTACAATAAATAAATATATATTACTAGTGTCTGATGTACGAAATTCATGAACATTAAAGGGGAATTAGAATTTTGGAAATGTTGCTGTTTGCCCTTTCTCTATAATAGAAGTGTCAGAGATGAAAGGAAATTAGTAAAATGTATATGAAAATCTTCCTCCTGTCAGAATCTGGGGTGTGCTGCGAGACCCAGAGGCCCGACACCAGGGTAGGGGGCACAGCCTCAGGTCCCCCTGCCCTGGTGCAAGAGCACAATGACCATTTGCATATAAGCTCTTTATTATATAGGATCATATAGCTCACACCTGATACTCTAAAGCAGCAGTCGCCAACTGGTGGTCCATAGACCACTGGTGGTATGTGAGGTCTGAAAGGTTGGCAACCACTGCTCTAAAGGAATAGTAGCAACTTATAGTTAAGCACTCACATGCTAAAATAAAATAGACAAGAAAGCCATAGCAATGGGAAAAGTAGCCAGGAATAGACTTAATAAGTAAAGATAAGCCATGAGGTCTTACATAATGGCTAGAAATGAACTTTTGACTTAAGAGCCTCCTAAGTGGTCAAAGCAAAAAGGGATACATAAGGAGTAGTGAGATTCTTGGGTCCATTCATATATTACAAACCAACCAATTACCCAGCTGTACACAGATTTTCCCAAAAGTGAGAACTAAATGAGATTCTTCCCATGAGTTCCCAAAGTAGGAATGACTATGACGTGATGCCTGTTGCCCTCAACATCAGACAGCATCAAGCTTCCGAGTTTGTTTCTAAAATGTTCTTCATTCATCTCAGGATTGCATAACGGCTGGGCACATCATTCACACCCTGTTCCATGTGAAAGGTGTCCCTAAATTGTGCAATGTGGTAGCCTCGAGTCATTCATTCATTCAACAAATATTCATTATTTTCTCAGAGTCTAGAACTGTGTTATTCATTTGTTAATGAATAACAAATATTCATTATTTTCTCAGAGTCTAGAACTGTATTGAGGATACAATGGTAAACAAAACTAGATATAAGCTCTGCCCTCATTAAAACTTATACTCTCATGAGGGAAACACCAATACTATGACATTGCTACTGTAATGAGCCTCTGACAGCTCACCAAGGAGGTCAAGGAAAGCTTCCTGGAGGGAGACAGGCTTGAACTGAGACCTGAAGGATCAGTTGAAGAAGTCATCTTGGCTAAGGGAGGAAGAAACAGTGTACCAGACATGAGGAATAGCATTTGCAAAGACCCTGTAGTGAGGAGTCCAGAGAACAGAAAGGGCTGTGGCTTCAGTGGAGAGAATGAGGGGGAGTATGGCGTAGAATGAGGTGAGAGCAGGAGTCAGAGGAGCCTGTGAGAACACCAAGGAATTTCTTCCTTTTCTTGTGAGAAATATAAAGCTAATGACTGTTTTTAAGCATGTGGGTGACATTTCATGGGTACATTTCAGGAATCAGGAGCTTAGATAAAGGACTATCTAATGGCTTGACATTATTTAAGGATAAAATTACGAATAAAATAGAAAATTAGATTCAGGTGGTCCATGAATCATCTATAAATTTTTAATATGAAGGAGTGATGATCATTTTAGGAGACATAGGTTCCATAGCTTTCCTCAGAATCCTACACAAACAAAAACTAAAACAAAAACCATTAAGAATAACTGATCTAAGATGAACAATATATACCTTTAGAAATGTTCTATGAACATTATTTCTTATTACTAAGTTTCTGATAAGGAATTTTATTAGCTTGTTAAGATAAATCTTATATTAACAGAGCTGAGAGGCCTCTGAAGATGCAGAGGACCTGCATCTCTGCTGAAGGACAGTATTCCAGTTACTGAACTTTCAGCAAATGGACCTTTTCAAAGTCATGATCTCCAAAAAGGTTTTCCTTGTGTGAAAAATGAGCTTTTGGCCACTCATCCTCTTGAATTATCAGCAAAAATTTCCAACTCAACCAAGATAAAATGAAATTTTCCATATTGAGAAACATTCAGGGTCTGGTTGCTCCACTAAAATTGCAAATGAGATACAAGGCAGTGCTACAGGTCCAGTGTCTTCCACTTCTTCCACGCTCACACCTCTCACTGGATAATTTGAGGAGTAATGATGAGACCATTGGATTTGAAAATATTCCTTTTGAAAATATATTTTTACCGATTTCAGAGAGAAAGGGAGAGGGAAAGAGAGACAAAAACATCAATGATGAGAGAGAATCATTGATCAGCTGCCTCTTGCATACCCTCCACTGGGGACTGAGCCCAAACCCAGGCATGTGTCCTGACCAGGAATGGAACCGTGACCTCCTGGTTCATAGTTTTATGCTCAATCACTGAGCCACCATAACTGGGCTGAAATACTCTTAATGACCCATCACAAAGTGCACTAATGGAGGAATCACACTTGACGGTGGAATATAAACTTGGTTTACTTCAATGCAGTGTTCTGACCATGGAAATGGAGGGGGCTACATTTTGTTTACAGTTGTTTGTTTGTTTTTACTATAATTTTTATCTATATAACAATAAAAGTACTGATACATGAGAACTACTGTCAAAAAGAAAAAAAAATATATCTTATATACCTTAAAATTAATTCATTTAAAGTATACAGTTCAGTGGGTTTTTTAGTGACAAGGTTGTACAACAATCACTATTATCTAATTCCAGAACATATTCATCACCCCAAAGAGAAGACTCATTGCTAGTCACTTCTTATAACCCACCAATCCTCCTTCTCCATCCTAGCTCAAGGTAGCCGGTAATCCACTTTCTGTCTGTATGGATTTGCCTGCCTATTTTGGACAGTTCATATAAATGCAATCTTATTTATGTATGTACAGTTATGTATGTAATCTTTTGTGAGTGGCTTCTTTCACTAAGCATAATGCTCATTTATACTAAGAAAAGGGTAATATGCTATAGATTGGGTTGACTGAACATCTTCCAGTCATCCAGCCCTCCTTCTGGACAAAGCCATGGTGGCGGGACAAGGCAGAGTCGGTTAGGGGCGATCAGGCCAGCAGGGGAGAGCAGTTAGGGCAATCGGGCAGGCAGGTGAGGGCAGTTAGTCAGGTTGGCAGGGGAGGGCAGTTAGGGGTGATCAGGCCAGCAGGGGAGTAGTTAATACATAGTGTTGCTATGAATATTCATGTATAAGCCAAAAGGACACACGGAACACAGTACTTAGCATATGGTAGGCCATCAATAAGTGATTACTGCGTATAGGGGAAATAATCCTGTGTTGTTGTGGGGACAAACCATATGCTTGACAGTCAATAGAGTGTAGGCAGGACTGACCTCCTCTGATAAATCAGAAGGACGGGAGCATGCACCGAGAGGGTGGTCACCCCATCTCTGTTTGGAGGCAGGCCAGGGGACACAATTTTCCTCTGGAAGCAGTTTGGATTTTGTCTCAACATCTGAATGTAAATACCCGGTTTAT